GTTCGTCAAACCAAAAGGCATCACTAAAAATTCATAATGACCATATCTAGTGCGAATGGCCGTTTTTGCAACATCAGATCCTTTAACTTTCAATTGATAATACCCCGAACGAAGATCAATCTTAGAGAATACAGTAGCTCCTCGCAATTGATCAAATAAGTCATCAATCCTGGGTAATGGGTATTTATTCTTGACCGTCATCTTGTTCAATTTCCGATAGTCAATACATAATCTTAGCGACCCATCCTTCTTTTTCACGAATAGAACTGGAGCTCCCCATGGTGAAGTACTATGTCGGATAAATCCTCGATCGAATAATTCTTGCAATTGGACTTTCAACTCCTTAAGTTCCTTTGGAGCCATACGATAAGGTGCCATAGAAATAGGTGAAGATCCTGGATAAGTCTCAATCTCGAACTCTACCTCTCTATCAGGAGGTAACCCAGGCAACTCCTCCGGAAAAACATCAGGAAACTCGCTAACTGTACAAATCTTCTCGATCGTGGACAATGCACATTTGGTGTTCAAAATACAAGCAATGAAGGTCTCATATCCCTTCCGGATCATACGATCAATTTCCATCACTGAAACTATGTTGGAGAGATAACCACGCCGTTCACCAATTAACACAACAGTCCGACCATCTGAAGTCTTCAGAGTAGCCCGCTTGTATTCGCAATCCAGCTTTACCTTGTGTTTATTCAACCAATCCATTCCAAGAATTAGATCGAACTCCTCTAAAGGAAGCTCCATAAGATCAGCGAGAAAAATTTCTCCCTGAACCTCGAGAGGACAACGTCGGAATACTTTATTCACTATACCGCTTGTCCTACTGGACTTGTAACTGTAACAGTATTTTCAGTGTTCTCGATCGGAATCTGAAGGTTTCGAGATACTGAGCTCGATACATAGGAGTGAGTGGAACCATTGTCCAATAATGCAAAGTATGGGGTAGAATAAATAGTAAATGTACCTGCAATAACCTCAGGCTCATCTCTGTCATCACGACGTCTAGTTGCATAAACCAAAGCTGGTTGTCTAGCCTCAGAAGCTGTTGGCCCTCTATTTTGCTGAGGTCGGGCTCTACTGTCTGTCCTGGACGCTGATCCTCGAGTCTTTCCTTGACTACGATCTCTAATTGGGGTCTGTACTGTAGTCTGCGAACGCACAGGAGTTTGGGTAGTGGTCTGCTCAAACGAAACTAACTGAGGACAATCCCTCCGATAATGACCACTAGATCCACACTGATAGCAAAGACCCATCTTCTTACGACACTCTCCTGAGTGTTGTTTATCACAATACTCACAAAGGGGCCCATTATAATACGACGAGGAACCGCCTCGACTGACAGCTAAAGGTGAGGATGCTGCAGGCCTGAAACGTGTATTGCTTCTATGAGGGGCTGAAGTACGAGTCCTCTTTCCGGACTGTGCTGATGACTCCATCGGGCCTGAAAATTTCTTAGATCGATCTTGATCAACACGCTCTCTACCAGAAGCTAAAAACTCCACCTCTTCCGCATCTTTGGCTCTGCCCACCAGCACATCAAATATCTCATCCTGATGGGTTACAACTTGCCTACGCAGCTCGTATCTGAGTCCAAGGGCAAATTTACGACATCGATCTCTCTCTGTAGGTACCATACTGAATCCATACTTCAGCAATTTCAGGAACTCGATCTCATATTCAGAAACAGTCATGTCTCCCTGAACCAGGTCTTGAAACTGTTGTCGTCTCTGAGCTAAGTAGCGCTCTCCCAGAAAACGGCTCCGAAAGCGATCCTTAAAGAAATTCCAGGTCAAACGATCGGTAGGAACACTATTGGTCACTGACTCCCACCAAGTGTCGGCATTGCCATCTAACATCGCCACAGCACCCTGATATCTCTTAATTGAGTCCAAACCCAACTGATCCATGCGTCTCTCTGTATCCTGGAGCCAATCCTCAGCTTCAGTAGGAGCTCCACCTATCTGTCCCCCAAAAGTTCTAACTCCATTGGCAATCAAAGTCTGCGAAATAGGAACCTCAGATACAACACCAGTAGCTCTGACTGCTCCCTGTATTAACTGCAGAAATTGTCTACCAAAATTCTCATCCAAAGCAACTCCGGTAGACTCTAACTCAATATCGGTCGCCTATTATCGGTGTAGTCATGCCAATACCAGCGGCAGGAGGCAGATCCGTTGGGGTCGTAGGAGCATGATCACCTATCGGAGGTGGGGGATCTACCCGTATCTCATCGATCGGATCTGCGAATCTAGCCACTCGACCTCATCCACGGCTAGTTCGACGACTACGTCTAGCACTCATTTTGATGGATCTCAAGTTTACTACAGAAGATAAAACTTAGGGTTAGATAAGCACTTGGAGTCTCAAATATAGTTAAAATCTTAATAACTTTGTGACATGGCCTTAGTAACTCGTTTTGTAAAATATTTCAAAACCGTATTTTCAATGTGGACTCATACACAGTCCGAGGGTTAAAAACCAAAAGCTCTGATACCAATAAATGTAACCCCTAGACCCGGCCTATGCGTTTCGACTAAGTCTAGTGGATCACATTATAATTATTAAAGACATTTTTCGCAACCGTTATCCCATCAATATAAAATCACATTATATAAACATGAAATTATAAACAATTTATACTATCAAAAACCAACTCGTAAATATAGTACAAATAAATAATAATTTAATTTAAAACATGTCTTCAAATTCAAAATCACAATAAACCGAGCAGTAGTAGCAAAAGTGTTATCATTATAAAATCCGATATTTTAAAATAAGGTCCATGTCACCAAAATAAAGTAAACTTGCCAGATAAAAACATTACAATCTGATTTACTTCAAGAGATATGTTGATCCTCCAAGTGCTCGAACCAAGGTATCTACCCAACAGTATCTGAAAGGGGAAAACATTTTCAAAAGGTGAGCTAGGCTCAGTGTGTCCCAACATTTCCATAAAATCACAATAGGTACAAATCATAGTCCAGTAATCTCACAAATTCGTAAAAGAGTTTAACTTTTGAAAATCATAGTTTAAACCCTTTTCTGGTACACCATCAGTAGTTCCCAAAATTATTTTCCATATAGCTTACTTTATGCACATAGCAAAAAGAAAGCCGACTTAAGGATAGACTCTGAAGCTTGTATCCTTAAGCCCAAGTCAATAAGTCCATATAGCTTACCCTAAGCACACAGCAAAGGAAAACCGACCTAATGAAACATCTTGGGGCCCTCAAGAGTCACATTAGGCCCAGTTAGCTTGATCAGAGCTATTCCATCGTATTTCAATTCCAAAATTCAATTGCACCGTGACATAAACTCCATAAATCCAAAAACATAGTAATCATATACTATTTCAAAACAAAAATTAGATAGCAGCCATATTCCATAACTTGTCACATTAAATTGGTGCATCCATAAAACAATAGCCAATGAATTCGGTGTACCACGTATTAAAACCAATAAAACAGTTCAATAACAAGTAGGGAACACACCTCGACAATAGATTCAAATAACAAATCTACTGATTGCTGGTTTCACCACGCTCTGCTACAATTTTCGAACGGGTGAATACTGGCACACGTGGTTTAACTGATCTAGAAGAGCTGGGTCGAGCTGTCGAACGATCCGGAGAGTCTCTTGTACCTTCAAACAATAATATTTATCAGTCTCAAATCCTATTCAATTGTTCAAAGCTAAACTTCTTAAGTATATACGCATTTTTCGGGTTTGACTATCAATTTGAGGTATTTCGAGTCTGAATTTGGCCAAACGGATTACGGAATCGGAATCAGGGCGTCGAAAAACATAAAGTATGACTTTTCGAAAATTCAAATTCTTGGTCAAAGTCAAAGTCAACCACTTTGACCGTAAATTTGGAGACCTTCGGATTCGAATTGACAAAACGGACCACGGAAACGGATTCGGCACGTCGAAAACTATCAGGATAGGTATACTCGGAAAAGATTAACGGTCGTTTAATGCTCCGTCAAAGCCATTTTAAGTTTTGGTCAAAGAAAGTCAACGGTCAACGGTCAACGGTCAACGGTCGGGTCGGGTCGGGTCAACGGTCGGTCGGGTCGGGTCAACGGTCGGGTCGGGTCGGGTCAACGGTCGGGTTGGGTCAGACCGGTCAGACCGGTTCAGACCGGTCAAACCGGTTCGAACCGGTTAAACCGGTTTCCAGCAGCCACTCGCCCTGCGGCGGCGCGTGTGGCGCGTGAGGCGTCCTCCGGGGCCCTAAAATCCCGGAAAAATTTCTAAAAATTATTTTGAGCGATTTCAAGATACTTACAACGATCGGTTCAAATTTTTGAACGGCGGAGAGCTCGATTTCAAATCGGCCGAATCTTTGACTGCACCAACTCCCCACGCGCCGCCGTCTACGGCGGACAAGGTTGACACCGGTGAACTCGGAACGGCACAAGGAACACGATGGTGCGGGAGGTGTCGTAAACAGAGCAACGATCAGCGGTGAATTTAAGATTTTCTCGGCGATAGAGCTAACAAAACCGTCGCTACTTTGACTGAAAATTCCCGACGTTTGGCCGCGTTTCGCTTCAATTAATTTGAAGGTTTTGCTCCTCGCTCGATGATGAACACAACGGTGGTTTCAAAACAACGATCGGAATTCGGACGGCGTCGGAATCGAGTTTGGAAGTTGTGTGCGTGAGGAAGAATTTCACAATTGTTTTCTGTTTTGAAAACAGAAAACCATTCATATGTTTATATGAAATTTTCTGCCGACACTAAAAGGAGTAATGCAGGGCTTGGTCCCTGAATTTCCTTTAACTTCTAAAATGGCCTACAATTTTGAAAACTTTCGATTTAATCCTCAAAATTTTGCCAAATTACTTAATTAAATTTTTTTTTCTCTAAATTTTATTCCGGGTTGTTACAAACCCATACATCAGTTTTCTGAAAATAAATGAGGAAACATTGTTTTCATCAAAAGGTCTTAATAAAAATCAGACAATTACACCACATTGGTTTACCTTCACACTGGCATCAGGGCCTGCTTTTTGCCTTGGCATCATATGGAGACAATGGGATAAAACTATAAACGATTTTGGAAAGATACTCAACTCTCCTCTCTTAGTTTTGTCCAAAAGAAGCAAAGAACAAGTTTTTAAAAGTGAGAAACAGAGCTACAAGAGTCAAAGTTTTCTAGAAAATAGTTCAGTTTAACATGAAAAGAATGATGTGGAACAAGGATTGTTTAGGAGAAATGTATATAATTTCTCCAACCTGGAAATCCAGTGACGCCAACTATATCACCACGCTTCACAGTGGAATGGAATCTAGCGAATTCAGCTTCATCCAAGCCTGACTTGCTGCAGTAACAGAAGAAAAAGTATAAAAAAAGGAAGAGATTATTGATGAGAACAAAGTTGGGCAGTGGAAAGAAAGGAAACAGCGCAAGAAACAAAAAGGCACATAACAATCACTAATCTAAGCTAAAGTAGATCAACAAGATGCCATGGCAATGCCTCCAAAATATAGATTTGCTGCAGAATCAGATTAAAATATATAAGAAGCTTAGAAATAGAAGATTATTCTGTGCATAAAGGAGAGCAAATAAAATATCATATTGTAATGAAATTCCAACCATAGACTTGATAGAATAAAAGTATTCACAAGAAATCAATTATTTAGCAAGATACTGACCCAAAAATATAGTTTTTTAGCTATGAAATGGAATATATAGAATATCTAAGCCATGCTTAATTATTTAGCTGGATGAAGCAAAAAAAAAAGTTTTTTTTTGTTACAATTGATTGTGAAATGCAGAGAAAATATAATATCAAAGATAAAGTAAATCCGCATTACCTTGAATGTCCCATAAACCTTAACATAACAAGAGAAATTTGAAGGACATAAATAAGAAAACACATCTTATGATGAAAATGGTCATATACCTCGCATCAGCTATAACTTGCACTTTGGCACTGCCACCATGCAAGCCGTAGAAAAACAACTTTGAATTGGATGCTCTTTTGCTCATAATTTGCCCTAGCATAAAATAAACACAATAGAGTCATTTCAAAATAAATAAATGAACACAACCATGATACATTGGATCGTATATGATGGGAGTAGGAGGGCCTCGTTAAATACTAGCCAAAGACACTACAACATCCTCAATATGTCCCCATTGCCTAAGCTTCCATATTCATCTATATATTCGACTATAGACATTGATGTGAAGAATTTATGAGGATATGGATTTTTTCCTTCTGCCTTTTGAGCTGCAAGAAATTTCAGCCTATTCTCATGGAATTGCTGATAAGAAAAGGTTAAGTTTAACATTTTGCCAAGAGCTCACTAAAATATTTATGACTTTTGCATTGTGATTTGTGAAAAGCATACTAGAGCAAACATTAAACGATACCATATGATCCATATCTTCATCATCAGCGAATGCAGATTTCTGACTTTTCCTTAGCTGTTGCCTGAATAAAAATATAATTTATTTATCCAAGATATCATAATGAAATCATAGGATTTGAGCAATCACAAATAACACAATGAGAAAGATAATACTGGTCATGCACTTCGAATATTTAAAATTAATTAAAACTCTACGATTATTATGGATTTCATTTTGCATATGCCAATTTAGTGATCAGTACAATGTACAACCATAGATGTTTTGCTTTGTGTATAGAACACTGCATTTGAATGCATCCATATATCAGTACATACACACTGCATTGGATGCATTTAACTTCCTCATACTATCATAACAGAGAACAAAAGCGCAGAGATGTGTTTTCTTTTCTACAAATTTATCTACTAAATTTTTTCACAAAACATTTCCTCCCAGAACCATACTGCAATCTTCCATATCCAGTATAATAAATCATTCATTTCTGAGTAAAAATATGGCTTCATCAGTTGTTACCATCACTTCTTGTGTAGACACCAGTTTTTGTCCGGTTTTTAAAAATTATTATTATTATTATTATTATACTAATACAATTTTTTATTACATTTTTGTAGGCCCAACTGAGGCCAACTCAACATCCCATAAGAAAAAGACCAGATTACAACCCAACAGTAAAGCCCAACCCAATACCAGATCCAGAATCCGGATCCAGACTTGACCCAGGATTCTGGATCCGACCCGAACCCACTAGGGTTTCTTCTCTGCTCATGCGCTGCCACCATCCTAGCCGTTAGACCTGGACCCATCTAATGGTCCAGATCGCCTAAGGGTTAGGATTTCAAGCCCTAAAATATTAACAACTGTCGTCGCTTGGCCTTCCAGCTCCCAGCCGAAGCATGCACCTCACTGCCCTACTCCCGAGTCGCGTGAGCCTCTGCTGTTTACTTCCCGAGCCGATGTCGAGTACTCTCAAAACATTTTCATCATCCACAGTAACATGCATCCATCAGTCAAAAGAGCAACAAATCGGTAAGAGAAAAATTAAAGCAAATCAAGAGAAATCCCGATGAAATAAGGCTATGACAGAGGCGTCAAATCTATCATACCAGCATATTAAAGGAAAAAAAAGCAAAATATATAAAAGGGGAACCACTCAAAGAAAAAAGGGGGAGAACATTGAAAAGAGAGAGATCGGGGGTCTCAAAGAAAAGAGAAAAAATAGAGGAAGGAGAGGAGAGCATCCGAGAGAGAAAAACATAGAGAGAGGAGAGGAATCATTCGGGGTTCAAAAAGAAAAAAAGAAAAATCTTCGAAAAGAATCATCATCAAATAACCAACCATATTCGAATACAAAAAAGAGGAGAGAAAAACATAGAGATATTTACCTTGGTTCGAAGCATCAGATATTCTAAAGGTCGTCGGAACCGTATTTCTGAAAGGTAAACAATAGATCTAGGGTATTAGGGTCACTTTTAGACCGAGATGGTTTTGGATCTATGTTGAGGGTAATGAGAGGAAGGTTTTCGGGGTGGTTGTCTCTCTTCGACCACCGTGGGCCGTCGTGAGCGCCACCAGCGGTGGTGGTCTATATCTTCCTCGATGAGAGAGTTGAGAGAGTTTAAACTCTCTCTCTGTGTTTTCTGAGGCAAATGGGAAGTGAGGAAAAAGCCTCGGGTTGGGACTTATACACTTGGATCAAAACGGTGTTGTTTTGCACCCTATTTTCGCGTTTTCTGGTTAGGGGTAAATAGCAGTTTGGGTCCCCTTGCCTTTGTAACTTCATTTTTCAGTCATTTAATGAATTTGTACCTTATTCTATTTTGAACACTCACGTTTCAGTATTTATGTTTTAGTCCTATTATTATATATTATATTATTCTTGTTAATGTTTTATTTTGGTAACGAGATTTGTAATTATTTCATTTTAGACACTTCTTTCCATATGGTTTAATTATCATTTAGACCTTCATGTTTCTGGTGTAATTTATTTTAGTCCTTAAACATTATTTATGGATTTTTTTTGTTTCTGGTACTTATACTGTCAAATAATTTTGTTTGTGACCCTAGGTTATCTATAATTACTTTTTAGTCCTTCAAGTTTCTATTAATCATATTTTGGTCCCTTAAAGGCTTATTTTGGTATTTTATTTTGGATTGTAATGTTTACTTGTTTTTATTTTAGTTCTTTATGTATGAATACTTGTTTTACATATTGTAGTTATTTGTATTGTATTAAATAAATATTATTAGTTCTATTTACTATCAATATTTTATTTCGTATATTCCCAATTACATTTATGTTCGTTGTATTTTTATCTATTGATGAGATATCCGAATATCTTCAAGAATTGCATTTGTAGAACGGGTGTGGAAAGTATCACTTAATCGAAGTGTTGCAATCCGATACGATGTTCGAACAAAATGAGAGCTTGAAATGAATCAAAGCTATTTTAGTGCTAATTAATCGATTTTAATTCAAATGATGCAATGTATGTTTCTAAATGGCAAATTCATGTTATTTTTCGCAAATGTCAATTTTCAGTTTATATATTCGATAAGCATTTTTATCGGGGAGGGAATATTCTTTTTAGACAAGAAATAGATGAGATAGCTTTCCTGATGGATTATCGCTGATCTCAAGATTTCTTTTCAAGTTAAAGAATTTTCCCTAATGATAATTCGAAGCAAGTTAATCAATGTTTGATGAATGGATCATATTCTAATTTTACATTCGATTTATATTTTCCACAATTTATGACGATGTGTAAGCAACTAAGTACCAATTTTGGGCGTTGTGTGGGGTGCTAATCATTCCCCACGTGTAATTGACTCCCGGACCTGTAAATTTGAGTTTTTTGTAAACACAGACCAATTTCAGTCTTACAAAAAATGATTTTTCCTTAAAATTGTTTTAAAAGACGATTTTTAGGTATTCGACCTACCTAACCCAAGGTCGATGGTGAATCCCTTTCCATCCCATTCAATTTAATTTAAATTAATTTAAATATCGCCAGATTTTTTCCAAATAAGTGATAATTGTTTTTTTTTTAATATTTAATTATTTTTTAAAAAAATTGGTTATGATAGCTTGACGACTCCGCTGGGGATTTTTTTAGAGAGTCAGGCTGTAAGTCACTTACACATTATCATTGTGGTGAAATTATAAGTTTGAGTCTATTGTTAACTTATGATTCATTTATTGAAGTTTTTTAATTTCTTCATTTTTAATTGTGTTACTATTTTTTTAAATCTTTGTTTTTAACAATATTCAAGTCTCCATTGAGAGTTTTTTTTTCTTTAGAGTCAAAGGTTTGTATGTTCCTCCTCTCACACATCACGTTCATTTGCATGACATAAGCTCTAGAACCGAGCTTCATTCCAAGTAGCTCAGGGTGAATGCTTTACTCTCGTAAGAATTTATTCTTCGAATGAGTTTTAGCAAATAACCCCTGGGATACATGCCTTATACCTTGTTGAAAACATTTTGATATTTCGATATAACAAATAAATGTGTTAATGAATTTTAAGATTTATATTCGATTTCAAATATTATATTTGATTTAATTATTCAAATATTACAAATATTACTCCAAGTTTTAAAATGTCATATTTTAGTCCTTACTTAAATGAAAATTTTAGTTTCACTCTAAAAGCAATTTACAAATAACTTTTACAAAGTGTTTCGAACGTTAATCAAGTAAAAAATGGATTTTCAATAGGGTAGTACTGATACTGCCTTATCAGTATTGATACCCCAAACATCGAATGCAAAATGGGTACTGATACCCTACACGGAATCGATACCATTACATATAGTAGTACCGATACCATAGTCATGGTACCGATACTACCCCTTTGGTTTTGACTCTGAATTTTAACATAATACAAAACGGGTACCGATACCATTACCGGTATCGATACTACTTTATATAGTAGTATTGGTACTCCTTGGACGGTATTGATACTACTACACATAGTAGTATCGATACTCCTTGAGAGGTATAGATATCATTGAGTTACAACGGTCGAAATATTTGAATTTATAACAGGTAGTATCGATACTCACGAGGGGAGTATACCCATACACTCCCAACAACTTTTTGAAGTGGAAAACATACAACAAAGGCTCAATTGACTCCATGATCATCCTCAACGTTCAAAATTCATTCAAGGGGTATTTAAACAAGTTTTGAAGCCATTGGTGATCAAGAATTGAGAAACAAACAAGAGAGAAAGCCTTAAACTTATTGTTTGAGCAAATCAGGCCAACATCCATTCAATATTCATTTTGCTTTCCAAGAACACCATTTTTACTCAATTGTTTTTATTTTTTAGTGTTATTTCTTTGTTCTAAATTGTGCAAACAATCTTACCTTGTGAGGTTTTTCTTCTAAGTTTGCGAAATTTGTAATTTTCTTTTTGAGAGTGAGTGTCTCAATAATTTGGGGTATAATTCTTGAGGGAGTTATAAGGTTACTCTTTGTCCTCAAAATAAAGACAAATTAGTGAATTTGTGGAAAATCCTTAGTGTGGATAGCTAAGGTAGTGGACATAGACTTTGGTTGAGAAAGTCAAACCACTCTAAATCGCTGTGCAAATATTTTTATTTTCTGTTAAGCTTCCACAAAAAAATTAATTGCCAATTTACCCCCTTTTGGCTATTTCATCTAATCGATTAACTCAACAATTGGTATCAAAGATTGTCCCATTTGAAGGTTTTACCACCTCTTGAGAAGATCTGAGAAGAGTTTAATCGTTATCTAAGACATCCATGACATCTACGTCAAGCTTAGAGTTCGTTCTTAATTATCAGCCCGTCAACAAGCCTATATTCCTCAATGGATCTAATTATGCCTATTGGAAGAATAGGATGAAGTTCTTTATTCAAGCTAGTGACATGGGAGCATGAAATATCATGATGAAAGGGTACTCTGAACCATCCACAGAACTGGAGATGTGGAGTGAAGAAGAGATGAATACGAGATGAATACGAGAGAACATCATCTTGTTCAACCGCCAAGGAGATATGGGACAAGCTTTAAGTCACACATGAAGGAATTGACGAGGTAAAATAAACAAAATTAGTCTTCTTAATCATATCTATGAAAATTTCAGGATGAAATCGGATGAAGTTATCAAAGCTATGACGGATAGATTCTCTGTAATTGTCAATGGTCTCAAGGGATTCGGAGAAATAATCCCTAATGAAAAACTTGTGAGGAAGATAATTTATTCTCTTCCAAAAGATTTGCAATCAAAGAAGACAACAATTATCGAAGCTAAAGACCTAAAGTCTTTAACCCTCGATGAGTTAATTGGTTTTCTCCTCACTCACGAAATGATAATTCAAGATGAGGTAGATCACGAGGACAAGGATGACACAAAGAAGGAGATATAGAAGAAGAAGAACATTGGCGTTGCTCTCAAATCCACACAAGATGAAAGTGACTCTGATGATGACGAGGATGAAGAAATGGCATTGCTTGCCAAAAGACTCAGAAAATTAATGAAGCCCAATAGAGGAATAAAATTCCTATGAAACGAAGGCTTAAAAATGAGTCCATGGAGAAGGACCTAATCATATGCGATGAGTGCAAAAAGCTTGGGCATATTAAATATGATTTGGTCTTTTAAAGAATAAGCATAAAACACACTTGGCTACTTGGACCGATGATGAATCATCCGATGAAGAGGAACAAGAAGTGCCAAACTTGTGCTTAATGGCCACTGAGGAGGATTCTCATGTAACCTCTAACTCATCCAATTTAGAAGATTATTCTTTTGATGATTTATTACAGGAATATTA